GTGACGCCATCTACAGACAAATAGACAGTATCGCAATAGGATCTCCCTTTGCTCCTTTATAGGTAGACTGCTTCATGGCTGGCCTTGAGAGGTTTATTAAAGTAGTTCATTCAAGTAGTCAACTAATTATCTGCAATTTAACAAACGTTATGTAAATGACATTTTCATGGTTTGGGGCGACAGTTACGACCAGGATCAGGTGATAAAAATATTCAGCAGCAACCATCTGGCAATAAAGTTAACTCTAAAAATGAAATGCAAACGCCAAATTCCCTTGCTCGGTATGCCACTAACAAGACACCTGAGGGACCTTTGTTGTGCGCTGATAGACACTAATGACTACGCTATTCTACAACACATCACCACTGCCCCCTTACAAATCCTCACAGTCCTAATTACAAATCGATCACTCACCATATTTTTAAAGTGCTTGTTATTGGACAAACCTAGTTTACACGCATACAGAAATAAGTATGTTTAATTGCGACGGTACAGCTAAGCAAATGAATTTGTTGAAAGGAAACTCTTCATTGAGCTACGTGGTTCTGTTTTCGTTAGTACCTAGAATACCTGGATTTCATCTGTGACTCATAGTTTTTGTCGCACATACTCGAAGATATCCAGGAGTGAGCCAGCACGCTGACACAAGGTTAAGCGAAAGCATGAACATGGAGAAAGCGAAGGTGACCCAGCCAATACCAACCAACACCAGTCAGCATCAACAGAAGCAATGTGCACTTTGCCATCTTTTACACCTGCCTGCTTAGGATGGTATCATTTGAACTACAATCAGCGGTATGAATTATGGTGTAAAAAGTAACCGTGATCGTGATTACAAGGAGGCCGTTCATCGCTCTGCGATTGGTACGAAAGTATACAGCAATGAGCACAGGGAACGAGATCCGAATTTATGACTCTTAGCTACTAACGTTATTACCATTATCTTAGAAATTTTTTCATGTTTATGAATTTCCCAACAGTGCAAATACCGAATATGAATTAGCATCAAAAATCCTGGAGTATTATTTTTATGAGTTTTCTAATGCTGTTCGACAAAGCTAGTTGCAGTACTGTACGAAATGCTGAGGATTCCTTTCAGTAGCATCAGTACTGCTTTGTGAAAAAGCAAATTATTATTTCATGCATCGTTTCGGTATGTTTCAGAGACCTGTTACGTCTGTACAATCTGCCGCAGGCCATCATCAACAGATGCCTATGGTCTCCACTGTAGATAAAGTAGTCATTCTCCAAAGTTTTTCCCTTGCCATTTATGATTACTTCGCTCTCTGTTGTGTGATATCCATCACCTGTACTTAGTTCTCTACCACCGTGAATCCTAATCACGCTTTGTTAGTATGATGTTTTATCTTTGGTTTGTCCCCTAATAACAATTATGACTTTTGTCTGTAATAAGTAATCAGATTGTGGAACGTCTCATATCTTTTCATATGTCTATTGTTGTGTGAATGCGGAAAAACCTGTTTCGACTATAGCAGTGAACTACATTAAGTTATTTATATGTGACAGTGACGTCTTAAACTTCTTATTTATAAAAAGTTTCGATTAAGTGCTTATTTAAAAGTTTTAATGCACGGGAAATGGAGTTGATTTCTAATTATCTCATAATTTTCATCGTCTTAGCTTTCCAGATATTGGAAATATCTGAGGCGCGGGGTTTGTTTGGGGCGTAACTTCCGCGCGTGGAGTTTGAGGAGTCGTTGAGATGAATCGTGAGGTATGCGACACCACTGCTTTGCCTTAATTTCATTGGTAATTCTGAGCATTGTTAAGCAATACAACTGTCAGAATATTTAGTGTGTGTGTGCGTTAATAACTAACGCAGATGAGATTGGCTTATAACAACTATTAAATTTTATTTCATTTCTTGGTGCACTTTAGGTTAGCGCACTTTGGGCAGTGTCGTAAGGTTATTTTTCTTCCTCGAGTTTGCTGAAACACTTTGATGGCTACATAGCGGTGCTAGATGTGTCATGACGTGTAGAATGTTTTCTCACCATCATTTTGCCACTTAGAATAGTTTGTTCAAGATGTATTAGACTGGGAAACTACAGTGGTTTGTATAATCATAATGTCGTGGTTATATTAGCGTGACCACAGGGGTGCAGACATGTGAAAGTCCGTTAGTTGGTCCCAGTGGTGGAGACAATAATTGATTTTGCCAACATTGTCGGTTTTAAGGAACGCCCTGGTCGATTAAAATAAGCCTAGTCTCAGATTGATACACCACACAATTAAGCAGTTGCACAATCTAAAGAGAAAAAATGTTCTGTGAGCTAGGGAAAAACAAATGTTCATATTTTTTGTGTTCATACATGGGATCGTTAAGTTCTTCATCGTGCCTTCTTAAGTAGAGGTAATGGAGTTACTACACCTTAATGGCTATTGATTTTAATTTTTAGTCACTCAGTTGTATAGCATCTTGGACTGAGCTCAAGTAGTTCTAACGGATGCTAACCCAATAGAAATATTCGTCTCTCCGTGGCTTAACATCATCTCTGGCTGATCACATATCTTTTCCTGCTAATTCCAGAGATGGCAAACAGTAAACATTGTGACAGCCTCTAAAATAATACCCGTAGAACATACTCAAGCCACCGAAACCGTTGTTCTAGGATCATATGGCTATCCGTGCAGACAAGGACCCTCAAGCCTCAGAATTAATAAGTTTCACAGACATACGTTACAGCTGCACGGTTCGGAACTTAAATGTGACTGTTAATTCCAGAGTGGAATCCCGATGTCTCCTAAATCGATAGAAAGTGGCCTACACTGCTGCAGTCCCGATGTGAGCTTTCAGTGTCGTCGTCTGTCGTCAGTCATCACTCATGCACTCAGTATGTACTCAGATTATTCGACCGAAGTTGACTAGGCATTTAATTAACATACATAATCATGCCAAGATTACTGTGGTCGTTAGTTACCGGAGAGGGGCGATAGACGGCAAGCGATTTCAAGAAACCCAATCATAAAAAGCAGCAAGTACCTTTACTCATCATTTTTTAATAATAATAATAATAGCAGCTTTATTCCAAACGGTATTTGTGGTACAGCGTGCATTACAGTATATTGCATCTAATTACCTCATGAATTATGTAAGATTTTTGAAATCAAAAATTAAATAAATATAAATAAATAAAAACCAACGCCAAAAAAATAAAAGATAAATAAAAATAAAAAACAAACAGCGTAGAGTTTACATTTCAAACAATGCACCACAGGATATGAAATATAAAGTTGATGTGTGGTAGTAGATGAGAACAACAGTGTAATAGTAACAAGGAAATGAAAACAAAAACTATTGGGACTATTTGTTAGAGTGCCGCAGTAAGTTGATCGTGTCATACCTAACGGATTTCTCATCACATAACAGCTGTGCCAGATATGGTATTGTGGAGTTTTTGTATTTGGTAGTCCTAGCATATAGCCGCCTATAGCTGCTTCTAGTTCTACCAGATGAAATGCAAGGAGACAGCTGCGTATAGAGAGGATGCTCGGGGACCGACAACATTGTATTCGCTAGTTTCTTATATGACATAATGTCTATCTACAATAGTGTTAACCAGTTGGTTTAACGATATCCCACTTTCCCTACTAACGGCTTTTAGTGCCTACCCTTCTCAGCAAAGCAAAGTCTTTCTTAAGTAGTCCAGGAAAGATTAATGGGGAGCAGTAAAGGGGGATGGGTAGAATACAAGAATTTACAAACTGAGAAAGTAAAGACTGCTTTATGCCAGACTGCCTAAATTTCCTAATGTAGAACGTTAAGCGAAACATCTTTCTAGTAACTAGCAAGATGTGGGAAGACCAGGAAAGATCGGTGGAAAAACTCAGCCCAAGGTACTTGACATTAGATGTATTTTCAACCTCTGTGCCGTCAATGAGAGTGGGGCCATGTGAGCTAACTAGTTGCTGTAGGTCACATTTACGTCTGAAACTGAAATTGATTACCTGACATTTAGACCGATTTAGCTTACGTCCGTTTGAAGAGGACCACTGACTAATTTCCGACAGAAAGTTATTTAATTTGGAACAATCTGACTGAGAGTTGACAGGCATAGGAACCGAGAGGTCATCGGCATACTTAACAAAAGTGGCTACATCAGAATGAGGCAAGTCATGTAAGAAAAACGAAAACAGAAAGGGAGAAAGAAACAGCACCTTGAGGAACACCAGCTAAATTAAGTGAGGTAGTGGAGGACTTTCCATTGTAGACGGTGTACTGCTTCCTATCAGAAAAATAGGAATGCAACCACTTATTTGTCAGGCTCTCAGCCCGTGTTACAGCAAGCTTACTTAGCAAGAGAGACCTGGGAACAGAGTCAAATGCAAGTGTGTAATCAAGGAAGGCACACCGAACATATTTAGCTCCTTTATCTAAACTAGAGACTATACTATGATGTAGGACAACAGCGGCATCTAACGTACACCTGTGTTTATAGGGTCGTTGAAAGGCTTTAAAGAGGGTTCAAGATTAAGTGAAATAAGTCTTTTCATAACTTACAAAAAGGTGAAGTAATAGCAATGGGTCTAAACTTAATATTAGGTCCACTTGTTGATTTATGCACTGGAACGACCTTGATATTTTTCCATGATTCAGGTATAATACTTTTGGAAAACGATTAGTTGAAAATGTCAGTTAATGGGGAACACAAGATGTCGGCCCACTTCTTAAGGATAACAGCAGGAACACCATCAGGACCAAGGGACTGAGTAGGCTTGAGAGATTGAAGACACTTGAGGACATCATTCGTGTTAAAGCATGAGAAGCAGTCATTATTTACACTATTTGAAGACATTTTGTAAGTTCACCCACTTTATCTGTACTTCCTGATGGACTAGTATCTGTGCTGGGATCTGGCTCGGTTGCAGTAACAGATACACTTATTTTGTTTACAGCAACCTGTTTAAGATGGAATTAATGATAGCCATCAAAACGCAAGAGAAGTTTGACCTACACACTGAGGCATTACCAAAGTTCAGGCAAATACTCCAGAAGGAAGAACAACTTTGAATACACCGACTCCATATGATTGCGGTGTAGTCTATGCAAGTCCAAGAGATTAACAGTCAGAAGATACCAAGTAGCAATGGCTATGCCGAAGGGTGGTTCTACTTAGAAATTATTATGTATTCACAGCTATAGAAGATCTTGATGTTTTATTTGATGTGTAATGATCTAGTCTCACATAAGCCAGCCGACTGTGAAACTAGGTCTCTGATTAAAAATTAATGTTTTCTTTTAAGACATGTGTATAGGAGGTGTTCATCACTGTGCATTTTCGCCAGCAATAAATTCACTCATGCTGCAAACTATGTGATAACAGTTTAATATTTCATTTTGGTTATCTTATAATAATTTTTTGTCGTAGTCAAAACTTCACATCACTAATTTCACTCCCGTATAGTAAAGATCTTATTGTTTATAATGTGTCTTACTGTCAGTGCTAACTTTTGGTAGCGGTGAGTCGGATTTGATTTTCCACACTAAGACTGTGAGCATTCATCTTCATTTATGCAAATAAATTTTTAATTGTGAGTAATATAATGGCTAGCAAAGACGTACTAGTTAACCCTTTTGATGACTGGTCCAGAATACTAAACCTCGAGCGTTTTGTCATCGTTCAGAAGTTGGCTATGCTGTGTGTGTACTTTCGTTTTGTTGCCTATTAGTTAGGTCTTACTGATAGACGAAAAAGCAACCTGTTTTAGCCATGATTAATATATCTGGATATGCAGCTTTCAATGATAGGATCATTGTCTGTCTGTCTGTTTACGACATAGAACTTTGCACCGATGTGCGGTAGGTCAATTTGCCACACTCCCTCCATGTAGCACACAAAGCAAGAGAAGAAAGTAGAAGAAATGCATAATAGAGACAGTAAACAGAGGTGTGAGACAAAGGAATAGTAATAACGAAGAACAGTATAGTGTTATTGGAAATCATAAATCACAGCCATTGAGAACGATTTTGAACCATATCACCACTTGTTTCCAGCCATTGATTTTTACCGTCCCGAGGACCCCAACTCGAAAGTCTACACCTTCCTACGTGGCTTAAACTAACTGCTGTACATTTCATTCTTTTCTAGCCTGACCCTATGTCAGCTAACATTGCCCGTCGAGGAAGGACTATATCGTCTGCATATTATAAGTCAACGAGATTATTCCCTGGTAGCAAGTCAATCCCCGAGTCTCTGAAGTGAGTTAGGGTTAAGTCCATTAGTACACCTATGATGAAATTGATTAGAAATGAGGATAATGGGCATGCCTTACGAACACCACTAGTCGTCATCACTTCATGGGACAACTCGCCGTAAGCTCTCATCCGACTGACTGCATGAGTTCGAGTAGAGTGCCTTGATCAGTGCAATGTATTTTCTCGTCATTCCCTTTACAGCCAAGCAACGCCAGAGTTCCTCTCGGTCGACAGAATCGAATTCCGCCTTTATGTCAAGAAATATAACGACTGTTGGACGCCGGTAGGAATGCCAATGTTCTAGAATTTGTCGAAGGGTGGAGATATGACCAATACACCCTCTTCCTGGTCTAAATCCTGCCTGGCTCTCGTGTTTGTGCCTCCCGAGCACCACTTAGTCTACGCAATATTATTGCGCCTAGGACTAGGTACTATATTGGTCAAGCTAATCCCTCTGTGATTATCACAGGAAGACTACTCAGTTGCTTCGGTTGAACTAAATTAGGCAGGACCCTCTGACTGGAAGATGACTGATTGAGTCAACTAGTCACTTTTACACATGTTGATAAAGGGTTACATGTCCGTTAAGCTTTTGCATTCCTTCATCTGATACTTTAAACTTGGTTTCTGTGGTTCTACTACACACAAGCGATAGTATTTAGATCATGCTCCATTATGAATAAGATTTTATTTTGATAAATCACACAGTGTTGTACAGTTATATTAACTGTTAATATAACTGTACAACACTGTGATTTATCAAGATAAAATCTTATAATGGGGTTATACTCTACCATAGTGCCCAAGTTTTATACTTATATTTAGATGATGGTTTTCAGATTCCTAAGATCTAATTATTTCTAGCTTTTCAAGTGGACTTGATGTACCTATGCTTGATAACACGAAGTAGATTCAATGGTTTTCAGGTATTTAGATATCTGATTGCTACTCGGTAGCTTAAATTAGTCGATATTTGATATCCACGTCAATGAAAATTTTAAGAAAGTGATGCAGTCGTCATGCTCTATAAGCTGACTGTATGTTGTTAGATGCGCGGTGCTGATTAAGATTAGCCTTGAAACGACACTTTATACTTTGAAGATGAAAAAAATATCTGAAATATGCATGCTGTTACAATTTATGATGATTCCACCGTCATCAAGAGTCTGTTGTCTTGTAATAAGGTAGGTTAATCAGACTTTTCTGAGTTCGGTTATAAAATGAAGATAATAAAAATGTGTTTCATAAGGAAAATCACTTAGGAGAGTTATCTAGAAACTCATTCCAAAAAAGAGGGTGTATTGATCACATCACTCTCCGACAGATTCTGGAACATAGGCATGGTTACTGGCGTCGAAAAATTGTCATTTTCTTTGACCCGAAATCGGCATTCCACTCCGTCTACCGAGAGGTACTATGCTTGTGAAGGGAATGACGAGAAAGTACATTACACTGACCAAGGCACTCTACTCGAACTCATCCAGTCAGCCGGGTGAGAGCTTACGGAGATTTCTTATCTGAAGTGGTGACAACCAGTAGTGTCCGTCAGGGATGTCCACTATCCCCATTTCTGTTTAATTTCATCATAGATGTAATAATGGACGTAATCCTAACTGGCTTCAGTGGCTCAGGGATTGACTTGTTACCATCAGGGAATAACCTCGTGGACTTAGAATACGCTGATGATATAGTCGTTATAAGTGAAGACGCTGACAAAATGCAGAGTCTTCTGAACACTTTGAGGAGCAGCAATGTTCGAATGTGTGGCTTGTGATTCGCTCCTGTCAAATGGGAGATAATCAGGCTACAGGACTGGATTACACTGACTCCTAGCTTAGAGATAGGGAGTGAAGGGGTAGTGTGTTGACCACTTCACTTATTTGGTGAGTTGCATCAGCCAGTGCCAACGGGTTGATCTCTGATGAAATCTCAGCAAGGATACAGAAGGCTCGTTTGGCATGTGCCTGCCAACTTACGCCATCTCTTGCTCAGTAGACGTGATATCTGGTTATCGAACAAAGGACGTGTGTACCTCTCAGCAGTTCGCTCTGTCCTCTTGTATGGCTGTAAGGCATGACCATTGAAAGTGGAACACAGGAAAAAGTCGGCTAGCTGTCTTTGATCATAGGTGTCTGCGTTTTGTCTTCCGTGTTAAGAGGTATATCAGGGTGAGAAATATTGAGGTTAAGCGTCCAGTGCTAGACAAGGAGGGAAAATCAATCAACGAGGTGGTTGTGAAGTTACACCAATTGAGATAGTTAGGACATGTATTACGCATGCATGTCTAGCCATCGTTTTCCTCAAGGAGATATGTTAACTGACATTAGATTAATTCGGAAAAGGGAGTTAGTGGTGATCAAAGTCATTGACAGTTATATTAAGTCAGTCACGTAGGGAGGTGTAGACTTCCTGGCTGGGGTACCCGCGATCCAATAAAGTCCTATTGTTCCTCCATATTACGATTCTTTTTGTCTCATTTCTGTTTATTATTTCTCTTTTGAATTTCTCGTAGCTGTCTTCTCTTCGGTGGCACAGTGGTTTGGACTCTCACCGACCATGCACATGGTCCGAGGTTCGATCCCCTGCCGACGCACACCTGATATCTATGGTCGGCCTGCAAAATTTGGGCTACCGATATCCATGCTGAAAATTCCATACTTGTACCGAAAATACAGTGTGGAATCAAGCTGTAAATCAAAAATTAAAAATAATTCTTTTGTGTGCCACATAGAGTATGGTAGTTTGAACTGCTGCACATTTGTGCAAAGTTCTACATTCGTAAGCAGCCAGTCAGTCAGTCAGTCATTCGAAATACCCCACAATATTGGCTAAAACATATTTTGACACTACCATCGAACTAACAGTTTGAATGCCGGTGACTCACGTCTGCAAGTGCCTAACAGTTCACAATACAAGTAAATAATCTTCCAATGTTATTAGTAGACATCTGTTCTCATACCCCAACTAGTCTTCTCATTGGGAAGCTGAAAAATTCATTTTAAAGGAATTCACAACTGTGTTCTTATTACTATTCATTTGTATTCAGTATCAAACCTAGATTGAGTAGCATTGTGTTATTCTGCTTCAGTAAACTCATTTAACTCTTTGTAATCACTATCAACTCCCAATAAAGAGGTTTATGGGATATTGGTTAACTCCAAAGCAGTTATTTTGTCTCAGGTCAACATCAGTCAGTCATCTGTTTACACTCAGCTAACTGTTGGTAATTGCTTTTTCTCAACGTAAAATGTTTCCCAGTTAAGTGATTTACCTCTAAGTAGATTTCATCTAGCCCCCCCCCTCCTGAACACACAACCTCTAATGTAAAATAGGCCAGAAATCTTAAATCTATGGAAAGTTATTCTGCAGAGATCATGGAGGCTTACTATAATATGCATCTCGAACAGGCGGTGTGTGTCGTAGACCTTCAGTGTAATGAAGTTCGAGTCAGCATGCAACTTGATGACATTATCCGGTATGATGAAGAATCTAAGGCATTTTCTTCGGATATACCTTGTAGATCTAATTAATAGACTATTTTGTCTCTTTCCTGTCACTACGATGCGACGATGTTTTTCTGTGCTATGTCCATGCTATAAATAATTTTAAGAAATTCTAAGCACAATTTAAATCGTAATATGGTATTGATCAATCACTTTTCTTTGTTTTTTTTTCCAGTGGAGTATTGTTTCCACAGCTCTGCAAGAAGGCCGACATGAACTTGTAGTCTCTGGAAAGGAATTTTGTCAACTGATTGAAAAATCTGGATTAGATCAAAGAATTTATAATTTGAAAAGGCTAAATTTCCTGGAAATTTCACATACTTGTCTGGAGTCTTTGTCTGAAGATATATCGAAACTGTCCAGCTTGGCTCAATTATGCCTTACAACAAATATGTTGAAATCTGTGCCTGTCGGTCTAGGCTGTCTTCACTCGCTGCGTTCTTTAGATTTATCTTTTAATAAACTTACAAAGATTCCTGATATTTTTGATAAATTGTCTAGTTTATCGTGTCTTATTTTATCTGGTAATGAAATACAAAGTCTACCGTCTGTTAAAGGGTTGACTTCGCTGCATGAGTTCTTAGCTTCGAAGAATAAGCTGAATGTAAGTTAGTTTTTGTCCTCTCGTATTAATTATTCCACTCTAATGCACTTGTGTTTAGTTACTGCCGGATGGAATAGAATCGCTTACCAGTCTGACAGTCTTGGATGTTTCCTACAATCAGATTGCCACTTTGCCTAAAGATATTTGTAATCTAAGCAGTTTGAAGAATGCCAACTTTTCAGAGAATTCGTTAACTGATTTCCCGTCAAACATCCATCGGTGTCGTAAATTAAATATGTTGAAAATTCATGGTAATCCGTTTAAAGATAATCGTTTGAAGAGATTATCTGTTGACGATCATTCACCAACTGCTCTATTGGCGTATCTACGTCGGTTGGATGAAAGTGGTGGCGGGGGAGGAGGAAAAGCAAAGAAGGCTAATGACAAACACCCACCACCAGCAGCAGCAGCATCTAAAGTATCCAATGGAAGCGATAGTACAGATGTTCCCAGTCCCCAGTCAGAAGAACCTGCGGAAACTTTAGTCGCACATATTGTTATTCAACGTCCAGCTGAAGAAGAAGTGGGTTATTATCGTTATATTTAGTATTCAATGTTCTTTGTTATAGGAAAAGTAAATTTGTTGGTATAACTTCTTTACAGTTATAGGTTAGATAGTAGTGTTCATTAGCGCGTTGTTCAAGTTGGCGCATGGTACGACCGATGTACCCAGCTCCACCGGAGCAAGTAAACTGGCATATGTGCGTTGAAGTGGCCCAGTGCGACAGCTTGTCTTCCGTGCTCTGGCTGAACAGTTGCTTGCAGGAAAACGTTAGGTCGTAGGCTTGCGACGATGTATGCCTTCCTCAGAGATTTGGAGAGGCGTTTACGAAATATTTCTGCTTCAATGTCACCTTTGAATTTTAGATTAAGCAGAAGTATCTTCTTCGGGATGGATTGAACTTGTTCAGAAGTCTTTTTTGATTTGAGGTTCTTGTTTATGAACCTAGGCGGAAAACCCTTTTCCATTAGCGTTCTTCGGAGAATACGCAGTTCTTCATCAATCACTTCCTCGCTGCATATCTTCCGAATCCTTGAGGAAAGAGCGTACCTTCAAAGTCTACTTCAGATTCAACAATGAAATCTACAGGCAAACAGATGGTATAACAATGGGCTCTCCACTCGGACTCCTCTTGAAATGGCTATTAAGTTTCCATACGAATAACAATGATTTAGGGTGGTTAGGCTTAATGATTCATTGTGAAATCGTTTTGTTTTTCTTTACTGTCTGAAAACACAATCTCTTTGAATTCGAAATATGATCAATATTTTCTTTTTGGCTTTTTATTTTCTTCAAAAAAATAATAATCGATTCAGCAATATCAAATCAATCAAATGCACTCAGTCAAGTCTGGCCCTCGTCCATTCATTGTCGCTTGTAGTATACATGGTGTCAACTTCGCCTCTGAGGGTAAATTAAAAGCATTTTTACGTGCTCAAGAAGACTGGCATCGTGATATCGGTCAAATGCGTCGTCAAGCCACTTTAGCTACTCATGATTTAAGAGAAGTTGTCTTTCCATTGACATACAGCCTAGAAGAAGCCCAATCATTTGAGGTGAGTTTTCTTTGTTTGTTTTTTAATTGTGCAAACGAATGTGGCTACACTTGAGTTTCTCAGAGAACTACAGTCTTTATTTAGTTCGGCATTGTCAATTTAGATATTTTGTTTTTCCCGAGACACTACGTTCTGCGCCACTGAAATAAATCAAGCGTCAAGTTAATGACTGAATTGCTAACGTCTCCATCTTGTTCTGATGGGACTTACAATTAATAATAATAATTTGCTTTATTCCAGATACAGTACTAGTGGTACAGTGTGGAATTTTCAGCACTTATCTACAATATTGCATCTAATTTTATCAAACATTTAAAAGGAGTATTTCAGAAAAATAAATATAAAAACAACAACCACAAAAAAACAAAAATAATAAAAACATGCGAAAAAAATACCAAGAAGTAGAAAGGAAAATAAACAATATAATAAATAAAATCTCAGTATTGGCTAGTGGAAGCTATGATATGTTTATGCGTGGTGAACAGTAACAGCTATAATCATACAAGGAGTTATGAAATGATATTAAGAATGTTTATCGCCAAGATGATCAGTTAATTTGATTGAACAACACTAAACAATCATAAAATAAACATTTCAGGCTTTTTTTATTGTCAGCTCTAATGCAGTGTTTGTTGTGGTATAGTGTGAGTAATCCTGCATAATACAAAATTTTTTAAGATGATGATAACGGCGTTCACAACCAAGATTGTCAGTTAAATATTGCCGAACAAAAAAACAAACACAAAACTAATATTACATGATGGTTAGTGACAGGACAATTTTGTAATACTCATAGTGCTAATATAGTCGGAACCAGTAGATACACAAAAGAAGGAATAGAATAAAGTACAAAATCTTAATCCAATGTTATTAATTTAGGTAGCTAAGTATGTTTAAGAAGGTGTTCACTGTAGGATACAAATAAGAGAGAAATAAAAGAGCCAAAATTATGTTATTCACAACAAAGCAAGTCATAAGTTTCGCGCTTAACATTGTCTGTGTCACTTAGAACATGGGCCAAATATTATGGGGTCGTTGTGTTCCTATACTTAGTTGTACCAGCATATATTATTTTGTACTGATTTCTTGTTCTACCTGATGAGATACAAGAAGGGAGTTGGAAATAGAGGGGGTGCTGGGGGTCGGAGAGTATGGTTATAGACCATTTTTCGCATGTATTCAGATGCCTTTCTACTAATGTAGTGACGAGCTGACTGAGTTTTACACCACTAGTTCTACTAACTACCATCAACATCCTTCTCAGGATGGTATAGTCCTTTTTCAGTAGCCCAGGAAAGACTAGTGGGGAGCAGTAAAGTAGAATAGGTAAGATACGAGAGTTGACAAATTGTGAAAGTAGAGATGGCTTGATTCCAGATAGTCTAAGTTTCTTAATGTAGTAGGCTAGACGGAACACTTTCTTAGAAATCGTTAGGATATGAGATGACCAAGTAAGGTCGGAAGATAGAACTAGTCCGAGGCACTTTGCGTTAGACTTAGTTTCAGTTTTAGTCCCATCAATGCTACAGGTTTCATTAGTACTTACTAGTGTTTGTAAATCTCGTTTATGTCTAAAGGAGAAGTCAGTAGTCTGGCATTTTGAGGGATGCCAGACTATCCAGCAAAAGTAAAAAGTAATTGTTATTTTTTTTATTATTTCCTTAAGGTTCGAGTGGAACATAGGGCTCCAAAGACACTTCTCCGTATCATCCTGTTCTCTGCAGTCTTATTCAACCATTTCCACGATTATCCACAAACTCTCACCTATTCCCTATACGATCTCCTCCATGTTACCCTCTCGGGCACTTGACTCGCCGTTTCACACTCGGTTTCCACTTGAGGGCTTGGCGCGTGATGTCAATCAACCGTCTCCTCAGTATGTGTCCTATCCACCATCATTTCCTTCATATTTGTTGGGGAATAGGCTTTTGATTGGCTTGGTGTCCAGAGTTCTTTGTTGCTTGCCCTTTTTAGCCGTCTAATCTTCGGTATGGAGCCAGCACAGGCAACTGTTGATGAAAGTCAGCAGTAGCCTGTTCGGAGGATCCTTTTGCTAATATGCGTTCCAAGTCTCAGAACCATATAGAGAGGCACTGATTTGACATCAGTGCTCTAAAAATAAGCTGATCTATATTCAGACATCGTTGGTTCATCACTTTATACCAGCTAAAGTTACTGTTTGGTTTCACATTGAGAAACTCCCACGTCTTGTTGTATTCGCCAAGGCTGCTGAAGAAAGGTTCATCATGCTTCGAGAAATTACTTCTATCGATGATTCGTGCGTCGGTGGTATAGCGGTTAGGACGCTCGCCGACCATCCATATGGTCCGGGGTTCGACCCCGGCCGGCGCACTCCTTTACCTCACTGAGCCAGAAATAATGCTGGTAAAGAGGAAAGGTTGGGCATGAGGCTAGCAACCCCATCCTGTAAAAATTAAACACTGCTACAGAAACTTCAAGCCACTAGCTTGGAGCCCTATGTTCCACTGGGAACGTAAAGGAAAAATTATTATTATTATCATTATTAAAGCGCTAAATTTTTGGAGAACTAAGTATGTTGTGATGTGAGAGCTGGCTGCGAACATGCCGAAATTGTAGACAACAATTTACGTTTATGCTCACGCCCCGAATCCGGGTCATGAGGAAAAACAAGAATAAAGCCTAAACTTGAGGATCTCAACGACCAATCACGAAAGACTTAGAGTGTCCAAATACGATTCACAGATATATATATATGGATAAGTTTGTAAACAACGGTCACAAGCAGTACAGAATAATAATCTTCAGTAGGAAAAACCAATCAGAAGGCGTTGTTTCTCTGCTAAAATAACGATTAATAATAATGTTCTCACGAGAGTATCTGTTGCCTAGGCCTTGTATACTGTCGTTACAATTGGGCGTAACGTTGATTTCTCACATAGTAGACAATGTCTATCATAACTTTATGTCCAAACCATCCATCATCCATCCATCCACCTATACCAGTTGGCATGATGGTACATTGACATCTTATCATATTAGAAAAGTCATTTTCATTTTCTCATACCTTCCTGATTTAAAGTCTCACCGCCACGACATTTAAAAATAGCTGAGAGTAAGTTGTCTGCGCCTTGTGCGAAATAGTGTTGTAGGCCTAGTGTGGTGGTGTGATACAGAAAATGTGTGCCAACGGAATATTATTCTCACATGTTCCCACAGTTCAATTCGGCATTAGCAACAGAATACGATATATCTATTTGAACACTCTATTTGATATTAGAGTCAAAGTAATTTCCCACAGTTGAATACTGCATTGGTAACAGAATACTATGTATAGTTGAACATCCTATTTTTTGTCGCTTGATATAAACCGAAATCACACGCTCATTGATTGGTCAACGAATATAAACTGTAGATATATAAACAGCGGTTTGATCGATGGAAAATATACTTTGGCCTCCATGTCTTGCCTTCTATTACACTAGGTGTCCCCTCTGGGCCTCGGCTTCGTTTGGTGGGTCGGTACGAACCGACCATGGAGCACTATAATTATATTGGGTACTGGTGCTGTTGGCCACCTGACCTATTTCTCAAAGTTCTGTCTCTACCCACCGTTCCAGCAGTCTTCTTGCGTTGTTAATCAGCGAACTCACTGCCTCTCAGACTGTCTCACTGACGTCATGCTTGTTAAATTGTAAATTTTCATTATTTTGTGTGCTACATGGGACAGCACTGGTTTCTAGGTAGAATTTAAGTTACCTAGTATATAGTCTCATCATGAAATCTGCACATTCTCGAGAACTAGTTTTTATAATTTCATTCCTTTCCCTAAAGAGAAAATTAGCTGTCGAGTTTGATCATGAATTGAGGACCACTAAAAACCAGGGAATACTGGATAACCGTTTCTTCCTAGTTTGGGACACCTCAGTGACAGGTAGCTACAACTCCACCAAGGGGTCGAACCTACGACCTTCAGGTTACGAAGCAAAGCTCGTTGACCATTCAGCCGCTTGGTCCTAGACTCCAATGATCCATGGAATTTGATTTCTTCCAACTAGCGACTTTAGCGCGGCCACCAGTCAATGCCCTCATTTGACCTGGCGGACTTCACTGGTCACGACTTTTCACTAGAACTCCAAGCAATTTCGTCTTGTACTACATCTAGTCGCTAGCAAACATCCGAATAATTTTTAGGAGTTGAGGACAAAATCGGTTGGAGTTGTAGTGAGAAGTCTTGACCAGCGGAGTCCACCAGGTCGAGTGTGGGGAGGACAAACACTCGCCTAAGACACTGACTGGTGATAACGCTAAAATTGCGAATTGAAAGGAATCAGATTCTTTGGACCATTGGATTCTGGTCCAAAAGGTCGAGTTGTCAGTGAGCTCTTTGCCTTGTAACTTCGAGGTCATAAGTTCCACTCCCTCGGTGGGGTTATGGACCGAAGAGTCACTGAAGAGTGCCAAACTGGTGCGAAACGGCTGTCTAGTACTCTCAGAAGGTTTTCCATAATTCTTTGATTGGTATCAGTTCGTCGCTGAACTTGAAAGAAGTTAAATCCGTGCAAATTCACTCTTGAAAATGAGGGCTTTGTTGACATGGAGAATAGATGGTCGACAAATTCTGCTGCATTTGTTCAATATGCAGTTAATGTTGTTTGTGATTAAGTTTCTTATTAAATAGCTACTGTGCTTGGCAGACATACTGTGTTATCGATAATTCCTCTGTCTCTGCTAAAGTGTCTTTCCGGAACTTATTGAAGTCAACATCAACTTATTGAATAGTCAACATCGTCTATCAAAAAAGGTGCATTATCATTTGATTGTCTGTATGTCAGTCTAACTGGTTGGTTGCCGAGTTCGCATACTTCGGTGCAAGTTCTTGTCCTCTATGCCTGTTGATCTGAATCTGGTCTTTTCAATTCACAGAAGTTAAGCCAATTCCTGTGTTTAATCATTTTTGTCCACAGAACTGATCTTATCTGTCAGTAAGGTTATATGAGTAATTATATAGTCCAGAGGTACTTGTTACGACCATATTAGATGTTGTGTTACTCAGTTACACTTGATCTTGGGGAACTGTCAGTTAGTGAATGGGACATACTGCTCACTTTCTGCACACTCTGAGATCGGCTGAAGTATGGAATGAGTTAAACGCAGTATACAATGCTGCATATTTAATGCCTATCAATATCTCTCCTATCTGGAAGTTAGCATCAACGCTGATGCACTGAATACACGTCAGAAATGCCGAAGATAAATTTTTTCCAAACAACGCAATCTAATACTTCTGTGAAATATCCCGATACACCTGTCAGATGACTGTATTTTGAAGCCGTTCATATTTTGTTCAGAGTGTGTAAAATTTTCCGTGTATTTAATTATAACGATCTTCGTCGTAATATCGTTCATATGTCATAATATACCAGTGAGGATAAGTCAGTTGATATTATTTTGAAATTGCACCCTTATGAACGAAAGTACTCTTCACATCGATTAGAATCCCACGTAAAGTTAAACTTTAAGCACCACTAACTACCAATCAGCGAACAACCTTCAACGTACCAATCACACGAAAGAAGGACTTTTGATAAAAGGAAACTTTTGAAAACGTTTTGAAAAAAAGTATAAAAACCGTATATATATATATTCATCCAAATGACTATAAATGAGATCCTTTTGCGATCCGTTTATAGCCCTAATCCTATTTTTCAATCTTCCCCGAAATCATTCTATAGAATTTGTGTGCGTCCCCATAATGGGATCCACGAAATTACTGCAATGGTTCACTATATGATATATCCAAGAGATGACAGCGAGTTATAACCTTTGCATTCGTCAGTATGTACTGCAGATCCCTGTTTCACAAGTCTAGTAGTAAAGTAAGTATTAAAGTAGTTGACTTTCTGTCTGATATTTTCTCCACGAATCCTTTCCGTAGTGATATGCCATATAAACCAATCACCCAAACATTGTTGGCTAGCTCATGACCACGGTTGTATTTTTTCTTCAGTAACACGGTTTCGTCCACGTGTATGACGACACCTTCTCCGCCTAACAACGAAGTAACTCTTGCCATTTTCCGTGAGGCGATGTCTCTACAGTGCTGTTACCGCTGAACTGTTGACACGAGGCTATTTTCACTTTCAGCGGCTGCGCCTCTCACAGGGTGTTTTAAAACCCAGTAGGTACAAATACACAAAATCTGGGTCAGGAAGAGATGCTACCTAGCAAAAAATGTCCTTACGAAGTAATGAAATTATCAGCTTACCTTCTCGAATACTAACTATAGACATATCCATCAATTGACCTGCTAAAGCTTTAAACTCATAACACTACAATATGAACAAATCCTCTCCTTCCTAAGCCACCCCAAATCCAGGCAATACTGCAAAATCTTATTCTCCTCTAACTGCAAGCGTAAGTTTGTTAGAGCACGTATTTGAATCGAATCAAGCGCTATACAACCTTGAACTCACATGCATGATCCTCATTGGACAATCCGAGGTCGTTTGCTTATTGGTAGTTAGTAGTGCTTAAAGTTTAACTTGGCCGCGTTCCTATAATAAAATGTGATGTTTGATTTGATAAAAGAAATACATACTACTTATTTTACCTTTTGTTTTATACAGATTCATCCGTTAAATCGAGCTAGTGTATGCACAGGAGAAGCATTTCTTAAACAATTAGTTCATGAAGCCCAGATGGATAGAAAATCTCGTAAACAGGCAAAATTCAGTCAAATCTACCGCTACTTAAATGTATTGAATATTGAAGGTGCAATGGCAGCAAATATATTTAGCAAAGTCATGGTTCCTGTTGTAGTAGACAAAAAGCTGACAGTTATCTCTGTTCCCCCACTGACTAATAGTCATAGTACACGTGTAAGTAATGCATATGTATATGACCTCATTTTTATTTCATTTCTTTATGTTCCGAGTGAAAGATAGGGCTTCAAACTGCAACTGTAAAATTTCGGTAGCAGTAGTTGTTATTTTTACGGGTGGGAGGTTGCTAGCCTCACGCCAAGCAGTCTCTCTTAACCGGCCTTACTACCATTTTAGCGAGGTTTAGGAGTGCGTCGGCGCGAGGATTGATCCAAGAACCACGTGCGTGGTTGGCAAGCGTTCTACTGCTGAACCGTCGACGCATATATATATATATATATATATTTCTAGCATTGGCTTTTGTAGGGATTTAGTTTGATTGGTTGGGGGTTTCACTGTGAGCTGACATCAGTTACAGAATCATTAGAAAACCTGAGAGCACTAGACAGCTGTTTCATCCTAGTTTGGGACTGTTATGTACTGCTGCTGAGTGAGTTATTAGTTTGTTTATTAGATGTATCACACAGTGATGAAACAGTATTATTTACTGGATGACAAGGTTTCGAACACAATGTATTGTTCATAATCATATCAATTTTTTTATTTTAGTTAGTTTGAGTTATTAGTAGTTTTCCCCGTCGCCAATTATGTTATGTACTCGTCGAGTAGCTAATAGTCCTGACGCGGAAAGAGGGAAATCAGAAAACCACCAAGTTTACGATGATACTTGTATTTTCCAGACAAGGAAAATAAATGTCACACAAGAGTGTGAGTGAAATGGTACGTAGTGTACGAAACGTGGGGACAAGTATGAACAAGTATACAAAGCAAAAGTATGCATGAAAATGGCTAATACACATGAACCAATAAGACAGTCTTAACATGATTGGTTGTGATGTCACATGACAACAAGGTCATACATGTTTATTTAGTTAGTGGACAGACAAAAGCATATTGTCAGTTATAATGAAATATCGATCCATATACACATAGCAAAATATAATAGACTGTCAAAAACAAAACAGACATCATGTGGATACATATCAGGGACTTCTCATCAGTATTCATCCATCGACAGCTTTCGAACCCAGGACCTTCTGGTTATAAGGCGAGCTGGCTCATAGACCATTAAGCCACTGGGATTTGATCCAATTTCCAGCCAGTCCATGAATTCTAACTTCTGCCAATTCATGACATTGTGCAACTACTTCGCAATGTTTTCTTCGAAGAGTTACTGCCTCACCTGCAACTTGTTGCACCCAACTGGTCATGATTTCCCAGTAGAATCCCAGGTCGCTACCTGAATAGAGCCAGTCACTAGTGAGCATTAGATCAATTTTCAAGTATTGGTTTTTGCAGGGATTCATTTGGTTAATCAGCATATTTAGAGTTCGGGTAGTTGCATTCAACAAATTAATGCAGGGAACAAGATGTTAAATCAAATTCGCGATTTGCAGTTTAATTCGTAATTTTGCAGTTCGCCCAAATAACTAGCTAGAAATGTTTGATTCGGCTCTCTAGACTGAGTCAAACGAGGTACATTTCTGGTAAGCTCGGCTCCAAAGGAGCGAAACCGCCGTTCAGTGTTCTATCTGACTGGCTAGCGCATACCACCGGTTGATTTGGGTGCTATACAACCACTCATTTCAGGCAATCAGTAGTGTGCGTTCTATGAAGCAGAACTTTATATGTGCAAAGTTGTATGTCGAAAACAGACCTACAGACAGATGAAGCAGAACATTCATCGAAGGTATTTTTGGCGGTGTTTTCCGTTGCATCCATCAGATGTACAATAACTGAATACATCTCCAAAACTTATTATAACGTCGAAACTGACTTCAAGTTCCAATTAGTCCACAACATGAAGAGAAATTGGCCAAAGATAGTCTGTTTCCAACTTTACACTGATGAAGCTCTTCTTACGTATTCCTTGTATATAGGGCTTCAAACATTTTGAAGTTTGACGACATCCTGGACTTTTTCAACAGCTGTCATCATTCAGTCCAGTTCATATTAGAGGAGTCCGACACAAAAATACATTTTCTGGGCGTTCAATTAAGAAGACGTAAACAACATGGAACGCTAAATGGATCCATCTACATAAAGCTGAAATGAAACGGATAACTCATTAACTTTCATAGTTGGTTACTCAGAATGTTTCATCACGAAATCTAGGAAACCTAAACCACTTAAACCGCCTACACTTTCTGCTCCCAAAAAGCGTCTCTACTTGAAACTTCAATTCAACAGAGACTCACCAGCAGATATACTGAGAAACCTCCTGTCCCGTTCATTGAAGAAAACGTTCTTGGAGGCTGAACTTCAAATAACTTTCTCTAGGAAACCAATGATTCGCATGCACTTGAAAGATAAGCTACCACTGCTGGCCTCATCAATGTGCATCTATCAGTTCACCTGTTCGTATGGAGCTGGGTATATCGACAGTACCCAGCGTTTGCTGTGCAGACGTATAATCGAATACTTACTGTCATGATTGTATAAAGGCAAAAGAAAGACTCCCGCACAGCTCTTTCGGCGAACAGGTGATCATATATATGAACATCAAGCTTAACCCATAAGCCAAATTCAAAGTTATCAACCTTCTATCTTTTTCGGTAGTAGTAGCAACCAATAAAACTAAGTGAGTTTTAGATCTGTGTCAGCTGGGAGTCGAACCCAGCCGACTTGTGTGTTTGGCGAGTGGTGTTTAACTAAGCCACAGATAAGGATAAACTGAAGCATGACTGGTCTGCGCTGGTTGCCAGTTTAGAGATAGAGGATAAAATGGTCGAGCGTGTTGATCACTTCATTTATTTGCAAAGTGATATCTCAGCACAGATATAGAGAAGCTCGTGTGGCACTCACTTGGTGTATATGTGATACCTGACAATCGATATCCAGTGTCTATGTGCTTTAATTTGATCAAATCAAATTGAACTGCATGCCATTTCTCTCCAACTGTAATCGCTCAAAATTTGTCTAAATGTGGCTTGTACTACTGATAAGATATACCAGTAGTATATACATGCAAATTGCCAGAAAGCCACCAAATTGGAAATCAACCTTTTGAGACAATGGCTTCAGAGGAAGGGGTGTTTATTCCTCAAATCTCGATCCAGTTTACATTGTGGACATGAAATAATCTCATTGGATAGCCTTTCGCCTCATTCATTATAATAAAGGTTTTTGTATTTCCCAATGGATGAAAAACAAAACGATATTACTGTTTTTACTGACGTTTCGCTATTTAATGCTAATAGCTTTCTCAAAGTATTATTAAACCGGAATTTACAAAATCTCAGCATATATATAACAAAGAGTTAAGGGGTAAGAAAATAGACTTAGGTCAAGTTAAAAGGACATACTGAAAGTCAGAATAGCAATGAAGATCACTAAACCAAATATCAAACTTAATAGTACATCTGTTATGATATCAAAACAAAGTTTACTAACTTGATCATCGTTCGTCAGTCTGGGGGCATTTTTCGTTGTCAAGTTGGTGAATTGGTAAAGATAAGAAAACTAAGTGTAGATTGTTGGATTTTATCAGTGTGTAAAATTTTGAAAGTAGTGTGTGTTTACATAGTGAACTTGCTTATCACATTTGTGTTGATTTTGCCACTTCATGGGGGGAGGGGGGTGTTGTAACCAGGTCAGATTCTGTTTTAGTCCATCATCATTCCTATTCAGGCAATTTGGATTCCACTTAATATGAAGTGCTTCTGATGATATTAGACGTTCTTTGTGATTTCTGAAGTTTTTCTGGATTATTTGAACATTATCAAAATCAATATTGTGGCCTGATTCTACTTTGAGAAAGCTATTGGCATTAAATAGCGAAACGTCAGTAAAAACCACATCGTTTTGTTTTTCATTCATTGGGAAATACAAAAAACTTTATTATAATGAATACCATATACCCAATGCCCAAATTTTTTCAAACCGTTAAAAGTGAACTTGTTTTGGATATATATAACTTTCGTATCATTGTTTAACCTTAGGCCAATCGTCGACCAATCAGAACGCTTTATTGTCTTCTGGCCTAGCCGACTTTTAATATAGTTTAAAAATATTTGTTTACTTTACTAAAAGGTTTGTTTGTTAGCATTTCTTCTGTCTTCTGCGTTACATAATTGTCTAATTATGTCTAAATTTCTTATTCCAGTTGAAGGTTGATACACGTGACATCTTGATTGAAGTTACCGGTATTAATCTGCCTTTATGCCAAAAATTCGCTGAGTTGGTCATTGCTTGGTTACTAGAAAATACTTGCTGCCAGACAGCAGCAGTACAGGCCACCGGTGGTGCCGCTGGCAGTGGTGGTGATAAGACTGCTGACAACGCAACATCACAACAATCTCAACTGGTCAACGAAGTGAACTCCAAGTTAACTGTAAACAACACTGGTGTCGTCGTCCCTACAAATTCCTTGGTTGTCCGTCCTATTCGTGTTGTCGGCATCGATGCTGACTCAAATCTGAGTTTCTTATTCCCATCTCGAACTGATTTGACTGATGCAAAGTTCCATACTATTCGTTAGGCCATTAATTAAAGCATGATAACAATTATTTACATAATTATTATTTTATTCTGTGACACAGAGTGGTATTGGTTGGATTGCCATGGCAATTTTCTTCATTACATTTTTGCTTATGGTGTATATGAGTATTACCAAACTGTCATTGTTTATCATCATTCATTTTGTAATATTCTTACTATCCTTTTTATACATAAGCACTGACAGACATATTGTTATCATTTTTTAAGGAGGAACTCAAACAGAGATGTTACTGTTTTACATCTAACTTTCACAATAAACCTGATAATTATTATACTAAGAAGTGGAAGTGCTTTTAGAAGTGTGTGGGCGGTTGTTACTTCCCGGCTGCCCCACACCGTGGAAGTTGATTGATTCTTCGGGTACCTGAAACAGAAAGAAGATTAGTGTTGCGTGACCGCAGAGCCCAGGCGACAACTGCTTGAGGCCGGCCGGTCACACATGGCTTGTGTGGACTGATTTCTGGGATTGGTTCCGTATTAGTAAACTTACCCCAGGTTACGGATCACCTTAGGGTAAGTCGGGATGTAAAAGTTTCTAACCCCTTCTCTCCGGAATGGAGAGACAGCATAGCTGGCACGCTGGTCATCGTAGGTGGACATTCTAATATGGTTACTGGCTCTACTACCTCACGTTTATGTACTTTAGAGCCGACACGATCAACCTCACGTACGATGTGTGTCATTCCTGCTTTATATCCCATGAAAGCTGTTAGATGGGGTGGGAGGGACCTTCTATCTCGTGGGAAAGCCTTACACTTTCCTCGAATGCGTCGGCTGCGCCTTTTGGGTGTGAACCCAAGCGAACCATGACGTGGGGCCGAGAACTTTCTATGCGACATGGTGCGAAACACGTGAGGGCTTACGGCGAGTTGTCATCTAAAGTGGTGACGACCAGTGGTGTCCGTGAAGGATGCCCATTATCCCCATTTCTATTCAACTTCATCATAGATGTACTAATGGACTTAACCCTAAGTGACTTCAGCGACTCAGGGATTGACTTGCTACCAAGGAATAATCTCGTTGCCTTAGAATATGCAGACGATATAGTCTTTCTAGGCGAGGACGCTGAAAAAATGCAGAGTCTTCTAAACACCTTGAGCTGCAATCTACGAATGTTTGGCGTGCGATTCGCTTCCGCCAAATGCAAGATGATGTTACAGGACTGGACTACATCGACGCCTAGTTTAAAAATAGGAAGTGAAGTGGTAGAGCACGTTGACCGCTTCACTTATTTGGGAAGTACCATCAGCCAGTATCAACGGTTGATCTCTGACGAAATCTCAGCACAGATACAGGGGGCTCGTTTCGCATATGCCAGTTTACGCCGTCTCTGGCCTAGTAGGCGTGATATCCGGCTGGCTATCGACCAAAGGGCGAGTGTACTACTCAGCAGTACGCTCCGTCCTCCTTTATGGCTGTGGGTAAGACATGGCCATTGAGAGTGGAAGACATGAAAAGATTAGCTGTCTTTGGTCATAGGTGCCTGCGTTCTATTTCCCGTGTGAAGTGGTTTAACAATAAGGTGAGCAATATTGACGTTAGGCCTCGGTCGAGTGCTAGGTAAGGAGGGGAAATCAATCGACGAGGTTGTGAAGCTACATTGACTGAGATGGTTAGGAGATGTGTTACGTATGCCTAGTCATCGCCTTCCTCGACAATGAGCAATTTTAGCGGATATAGCGTCAGGCTGGAAAGGAGCTAGCGGCGGTCAAACAAAACTTGGCACCAGTCAATGAAATCTACAACAGTTAGTTTAAGCCATCCACGTAGGAAGGTGTAGACTTCCTGGTTGGGGTCCTCGGGACGGTAAAAATCAATGGTTAGAAACAATTGGTGACATGGCTCATAATCGTTCTCAGTGGCGCAGTTGCATCCACTCCTTGTGACTTATGATTTCCAATGAAACTATATTGTTCTTCGTTATTACTATTCCTTTGTCTCACACCTCTCTTTACTGTCTCTATTATGCATTTCTTGTACTTTCTTCTCTTGCTTTGTGTGCTACAAGGAGTGGAGTGTGGCGACTTGAACTGCTGTACATTGGTGCAAAGTTCCATGTTGATAACAGACAGACAGATAGTCTTCTCTCTGTCTCCACCGATCACTCTGTAGCGTTATTTCTATGTCAATTCTATTCCCCCGGCATAGTGTAAGAAAGATTCTTAGACAATCCCAGTAACTGCTTTTAGTCTAATCGCTATCCTAACAACTTTCCTGGCATGGTAGACCTGCGGGAATATTGGTTCCAGCCAGTGCAGCTTGTTGGGTCATCACGATGTGCAAGCTTGACCACCACGTGAAGGTAGCAGCTATCGGTCGGGATTATACTAAGAAAATTGGATGTGAGTGTACTGTGATTGCTAGTGGGTTGGTAGTTGTGAATGACCCAATGGCTTAATTTTTATCCTATGACTGTGATTGAGGCAGTTCTTTTCTTTATGACAAAGGAGAGGGTGCGAACAGCGTAGATATTAAGTCACACTTTCTGTTATTCCCCTTTAAATAATATTGTCAAACACATTAGTGTGTAGAGAAAATCAGTTAAGGATGTAGGATGTGGGTTCAAGAAAGAGAAAGACAGTGAATGTACTTGCTTATGCGTCTGTCACAAACTCGTCGCCAATATGTTATGGTGTCGTTGCCAATATTATGATGTGACCAAGTGTAAATATGCGGTAATGAGATATAACCGACGATAACGTACAGACTGGTACTGCTGAGTACTTAATTTGTCCTGACGCAAAGAGTAAAATCAGAAGACTACCATGTTCACGAATGGATACGTGTATTTCCCAACAAGGAAAGTTAACTGTCACACAAGAGAGTGAGTGGTAAGGTACTAAAGAGGACGGGAGAGTGTGAAAGTGTACAAAAAGAGAGTATCAACTGTACAATACAAGAGTATATATGAAAATGACTAATTTACATGAACCAGTAAGATAGACAGTAGTTTTTTTTTACCACCATTGGGTTCTGATTGGTAGTAATCTCATGTGACAAAAAGGTCATACATTGTTTATTTAGTTAATGGACAGACAAAATATATTGTGAGTTATAATGGAATAACGATCCATAGACATATAGCAAAATATATCACTGTTAAAACAAAGCAGACATGTGACTACATATCAGAGTCATACTTCTTTTGTGAAAGAACTGATCCGATCATCCAAGCTGATGTAAATGAAATGGGATTTAAATTTTGGGCTGGCAAAGTTCAACAATAGCGCACGAGTGACCTTCAGCTGACCAATCATAAAAATGAGGAATATTTGCCCAAAAATATGATGTATATTGACAAGAAAACGCTTGAAATTGCATTAAACAAGTTATCTTTCTCTGACATGGCTTAAAAATACGTCCTAGTTATATCGAGGAGTGTCGGTGGCTAAGTTAAACTAGTTTCTGTACATGTGTATTCACCGAGATGACTACAGATAAACTGTTTTTGTGAATTGTTTCTCTCTCTCTCAGCCTGCTTGCAGTCTTCCAAAAAAGCCTTCGGTTGAACCTTTATGTGGTTTCCAGTAAGAGGATAGACGACTACTTACCAGGAAAACGTGGATAATAGAACAAATTAAAATAAATGACATCGGCTATAAATCTATGCCTAATCGTAACCCGTAAGCTTAATCCTGACCCTAACACTAACCCTAACCTTAATCATAACCCTTATCCAAACGGTAATACTAGTTGTAACCCTGATCTAACCCTAAGCCCTAATCCTAACCCTAAGGAGCTATTCATACATTGTCCAAACAGTACTTAAAAGCGTGATCTGGGTGAAATTTACTTCTAAGTTGGTGAATAGCGTTGATATTTCAGTTATGATAATGACAGATGTTGTTAGCCAACGACTAGCATGTGTTCAAGGTCATTGGAGCGTTTACACTTCTGGGACGCTATTGTTGAACTTCGCCCTTGGACTTTATTATGACTGAAAATGAAGTATTAATATGACAGTTCCATATCTTCGCATTATTATACTGCCGCGATAGCCACTGATTTTGCGTTCTGCTACGACTCCATATGCCTTAAGGCTGAAACGGGTTGTCCTGTGAAGTTATACTGTACTAGAAAGGCTCTCTGATTAGCGGTAGATTCATAGACAGTTGTCTCAGTGGTGTGGTATTAATAAGAAGTTGGGCTGCAAGCCGAAATGAAATCCAGAACAACATCAGGAAGGAACCACTATGAACATTAGATTCGGAGGAAATAAAATGGTAGATAAATCTGGGAAATGATTGGGCAAAGTAATGAGGGAAACTTTTTCCTGTCAAATGTGAGTCGACAAGTAATTCGAAAATCTGGGGTAGAAAAACTGCCTCTTTGGAACAATTCTTTTTTTGTCTACTAATTTGGATGGACGAACAGGTATTATTATTATTATTGTTTCCTTTAGTTCCTAGAGGGGCATAGGGTTTCAGCCGCACGTCTCTATTGCGTTCCTTTCTCCTCCAACGTTTCCACCTGGCTCCACGTCTGCCCCCAGATGCTTTCATCTCCTCTTCACATGACCTCCTTCATGTCACCCTCGCACTGACGACCAACTCGCCACTTTCCTTTTTGGGTTCCACTCGAGCGATGGCCTGGCTTGTATTGTCACTTGATGATTTGTTTTCTTAGAGTATAGCCAATCCGATCCATCTCCCATTTCTTCCTGCATATTTGTTTCACAGTTGGTTCCTACTTCCCGGTTTGTCCGCTCCCAGAGATCCCTCACTATTGCTGATCTTTTCTGGCCGGCCATCTGATCTTGAGTAGTATTGAGCGAAGACAGCTGTTGATGAAGGTGTGTAGTTTGTTCGAAGTGCCCTTCGGACGAACAGGTAATGGTGGTAATCTTCTATAATTGCCAATGACTAGTACTTACTTCACGCATGAGTGGAATCCAGTAGAGGGAATGCGTCATGTTGTTTTATATCGCCTTTAGAGCATGGTGAAACATTGCCTTTGTTTAAATAAGCTGCTCTTGAACCGTTTATTGTTCAGCTCACAGATGATGTGTAGATTAACTTAACATTTTACTTGAACGTAATAATTGTCTGCCTCTAAAAAATCTGGCACTATATATATATATCCCGACCGAAAGCTGCTACCTTGACGTGGTGGTCGGGCTTGAACACCGCAATGACCTAATCAAGCTATACTGGCTGAGACTTATGTCTCTTGAGGTTCTACCATGCCAGGCAGGTTGTTTGGATAGCGGTTAAACAAAAAGCAGCTACCCAATCCAACATCATGTCCAATACAAAATTACAAAATTTCATGCCGGATCGGCCGTGGCCCGGATTAACAACGACCGCGCTTCCTGCTGCCGTGTCACAGGGCAGGAGTGATAAATCTGCTACTGAGACACACCAAACAAAAAAGAACGAACAAAAACAGGCCGCGTGTGACCGGCCTCAAGCAGTTGTCCCCTGGGCTCTGCGGTCACGCAACCAACTTCCACGGTGTGGGCAGCCGGGAAGTAACAATCGCCCTCACAATCCGAAATGCACACGAAACCTCTCTATTACTCACTCATCTTTGTCTTCATCTTCATCTCTATCATCTTGCCTTCCTTCCACTGATGCAACTCCTCGACTTGATAGCTCTCCACTTCCTCTCCACTCTGCGTCCACTAAAAACGATGGAAGCCAAAAAACCACCACCGACAGCCTCTTAAAGCCGCGCCACCAATTTCATATAGGAGCTCTTAATGTTAGGACACTTTGCCAAATAGGACAACAAGCATCACTAGCCAAGACCCTGGCATCACGAGCCATTGATGTATGCTGTGTTTCAGAAACACGCATACAAGACCCAAGTGTGGTTATTCACCTAACCCCACCTGGCCAACAGGTTGAATCTGCAAAATTCACCTTGAGGGTGTCAGGAGATGCCACAGCTAGTTCACGAGGATTAGCTGGCGTAGGGATAGCTTTGAGTACTAGGGCAGAAAAGACATTGCTTGACTGGATCCCGGTAGATAGCCGAATGTGTGCTGTCCGCCTGAACGGATCAGTAAGAAGGAGGAAGGACTGCACTACTCGCCGATGCCTTTTCGTAATCTCCGCCTACGCCCCCACTGACTGCAGTTCAGATGAAACGAAGGATGAGTTCTACCAAAAGCTGTCTAGTTTGGTGGAAAGGCTAAACGCTCAGACATAGTCGTTCTAGCTGGTGACTTTAACGCTCAAGTAGGGAAATTGTGTCAATCTGAGAAGGATGTCGGTGGCACCTATGGAGTTCCGTGCCAGCGAACCGACAACGGTGACCGTCTCCTACAGTTCTGCTCTGATAATCATTTGTTTCTTGTAAGCACTAACTTTAAACACAAGGAGAGACACTGTTTGACTTGGAGACCCCCTTCATCAAACCAACGCTGGACACAAATAGACCACATAGCAATAAGCTATCGTTGGCGTGGGTCGGTAGGAGATTGTCGCTCCTTCTGGAACACGTGCGTAGATACCGACCATGCACTGGTCCGCGCTCGGGTGTGCTTACGACTGAACGGACGTAGGAAACAGCTGGCGGTAAAACCATCACGTCCCCAGCTCGATCAGGAAACTAAATCCGTATTTGAGGAAGAACTAGCTAAACACATATCTGTGTTCGACAGCTGTGCTCACCCTGAAGAAGCTTGGAAAAATATCCAGGCAGCCATAGATACAGCTGTAAAAGCTGTGAATAAGGTAAACCCAAAGGTGAGTAAAAACCACTGGATCTCCACCGCCTCATCCGAACTGATAGATGCTAGAAGACTTATTCCGGCGAGCTCCGAATTCAATGAGGAGCGAAAGCTGCACAAGAGGAAACTTACGAAAAGTCTCCGCAAGGACCGTGAACAGTGGTGGGCGACAAAAGCCAAAGAGATGGAGAAAGCTTCGAGGATAGGCAACACCAGGCAACTCTTTGGACTCATCAGGGAAACGGGTGGGAGAAGACAAATCATCAGTGAGACAATCTCGGAAAAAAATGGCACTATAATTAGCTCCAGGATAGACGACTGGATCGTTGGAAAGAGCATTATGAGGAGCAGTTTAATTTGCCCACAGCCACGCTCAACCTTCCGAGCATCCAACACCTCCCTGAATGGGATATAGACACAGGTCCTCCGTCACTAACTGAGGTTACTAAAGCTGTCACCAATCTGAAACTAGGCAAAGCAGCGGGACCTGATGGAATGACTCCAGAGGTATTTAAGTACGGTGGAGACAGCTTACTGTCCGGATTAACTGAGGTACTAGGCAGCGTCTGGGAATCAGAAGAAGTCCCATCGGGTTGGTGTAAGTCACTGATTATCCCCATATACAAGAAGGGAGACAAGTCTTCCTGTGATAATCACAGAGGGATTAGCTTGACTAATATAGTATCTAAAGTCTTAGGCTCAATAATCATGCGTAGACTGAGTGGTGCTCGGGAAGCACAAACACGAGAGAGCCAGGCAGGCTTTAGACCAGGAAGAGGGTGTATTGATCATATCTTCACCCTCCGACAGATTCTAGAACATAGGCATTCCTACCGGCGTCCAACAGTCATTATATTTCTTGACCTAAAGGCAGCATTCGACTCTGTCGATCGGGAAGTTCTCTGGAGATGCTTGGCTGTAAAGGGAATTCCAAGAAAATATATTGCACTGATTAAGGCACTCTACTCGTACTCATACAGCCAGGTGAGGGCTTACGGCGAGCTGTCATCTGAACTGATGACGACCAGTGGTGTCCGTCAAGGATGCCCATTATCTCCTTTTCTATTCAACTTCATCATAGATGTGTTAATGGACTTAACCCTAGGTGACTTCAGCGACTCAGGGATTGACTTGCTACCGGGAATAATCTCGTTGACTTGGAATATGCAGACGATATAGTCCTTCTAGGCGAAGACGCTGACGAAATGCAGAGTCTTCTAAACACCTTGAGCCGCAATCTACGAATGTTTGGCATGCGATTCGCTCCCGCCAAATGCAAGATGATGTTACAGGACTGGACTACATCGACGCCTAGTTTAAAAATAGGAAGTGAAGTGGTAGAGCACGTTGACCGCTTCACTTATTTGGGAAGTACCATCAGCCCCAACGGGCTGATCTCTGACGAAATCTCAGCACGAATACAAGGGGCTCGTTTCGCATTTGTTAGTTTACGCCGACTCTGGCGTAGACGAGATGTTCGACTATCGACCAAAGGGCGGGTGTACTGCTCATCAGTCCGCTCCGTCCTCCTTTATGGTTGTGAGACCTGGCCACTGAGAGTGGAAGACATGAAAAGACTAGCTGTCTTTGATCATAGGTGCCTGCGTTCTATTTCCCGTGTAAAGTGGCATAATAAGGTGAGCAACATGGAGGTTAGGCGTAGAGTTCTAGGTAAACAGGGGAAATCAATCGACGAAGTCGTGAAGCTACAAAGACTGAGATGGTTAGGACATGTGTTACGTATGCCAAGCCATCGCCTCCCTCGACGAGCTATGTTAGCGGATATAGGGTCAGGCTGGAAAAAAGCTAGCGGCGGTCAAACAAAAACTTGGCATCAGTCAATGAAATCCACAACAGTTGGTCTAAGCCACGTAGGAAGGTGTAGACTTCCAGGCTGGGGTCCTCGGGACGGTAAAAATCTATGGTTGGAAACAATTGGTGACATGGCTCAAAATCGTTCTCAGTGGCGCAGATGCATCCACTCCCTGTGACTTATGATCTTCAATGAAACTGTTTTGTATTTCTTTATTACTCCTTTGTCTCACACCTCTGCTCACTGTTTCTATTATGCTTTTCTTGTACTTTCTTCTCTTGCTTCGCGTGCTACACGGAATGTGGCGACTTGAACTTCCGCACATTTGTGCAAAGTTCTATGTCGAAAACAGACATATATATATATATATATATTGATTTACAGCTTGATTCCACACTGTATTTACGGTACAAGTATGGAATTTTCAGCATGGATATCGGCAGCCCAAATTTTGCAGCCCCACCATTGATATCAGGTGTGCGTCGGTGCGGGCTCGAACCCCCGACCATGTGCATGGTCGGCGAGAGTCCTGACCACTGTGCCACCGACGCACTGTTGTTGAGATAGATGTAAGGAATTCAATAACTTGCAACCGTAGATTGATAAAATCCCACGTCAACTGATTAGTGCAGTAGGTTTGATGATTTCATCTAGCTTTGGACTGAAGATGCGAAACTGAAAAGTTCTTATGATGACCACTAGTATAAGTATGGATGGTCAGACCGGAATACCTAGAAAAGGTTTTGCTTAGTCCTCGATTTTTCATGCACAAGGGTTAGTTCGTAGTAAATTGATTTGTTCCAAATTTGGTCACAGATTGATGTCACCTAAAAGAATTATTGGAAACCAAAGAGTGCTAGATGGTTGTTTCATCCACCGGGATTGGGACCCATGACCTCTTTGTTACAAAGCAAGCTGATAGACCACCACCCTGTCGAATATCCCATGAATTCCAACATCTACCAGTTCTTGATTTCAGCGTGAGACTACCGGCCAATGTAATTGGCGAGTATATGTCCTCATTCTTTGCAAATTCTCGGAAAATGACAGATATTGAACGAAAAGCTATAAGGAGCGGTTAAACTAGCCTTAGCTCAATT